TGCAGTGAATACTGAGTGTCCAAACCCAAAGCTTCGGACAGAAATTCAGGAGTCACCAGCTGTAGGCAGCAGGTGTCACAACTCAAATGCCACAGACAGAATGGGCACAGTGAGCAGAGTGCCACGGATGAGGACTGGGCACAGCCAGCAGAGGCCTCAGCAGCTCAGGTGGGCACAGGGCACGTTACCACGCTGCATCAGCAGGACAGACCAGCGAGGGCTGGAGAGTGTGCAGCAGTGCCAGGGTGGAAGAGACTAAGTTGCAGAAGTATTACTGCACACTTGAAATGTTAGCCAATACAGGTAAACATATTCCAATATGGCCTAGAAATATAAAAGGGTTGTACAGTTGTAACCTCTAGAAATAGGAGCAAGTTTTATTTTCTTTATCCTTTTGTGTCCTTTCCAAATGTTCTACAATATATACAGGGTGGCCATAAAGTTCTTTAAGTTCTTATGAACTTTATGGCCACCCTGTATACATTACTTTTAAAACCAAACGTATAAAGATTTTTAACTATTTTTTAAGAACCAAAAGTTTGTAGGAGACTGAAAAGGAAGAAAGATAACTTTTTGCCCAATTATCTCCAACTCTCAGCACATACGAGAAATAGGCTGCTAAACCCAGAAACCCAACCTGCTGTGAAGAAAAGAGAAAGAACTGGCTAGAAGAGCCTAATAAGTGAGAAGGAACCTGCTATGGTTTCCTGGATTAAAGTGTAACATACCCTCCGAGATAGTGGGACAGAAAAAGAGACAACAGTTAAAGAAAAATCGTACAGGCCCTCCTCACCCTTTGCAAACATGCCAGCCTTACAGGGAAGTGGCAAAGGTGAGAAGAAAGGGGGAGGGAGGGCCGGTGCAGGCAGAATGGGCACCAAAGACCCCATTCTGGGCAAAGGAAAACACCCCCCAGAAAAAGGGAAAAATTAAAAAGGAAGCTGAGTGAGTCAGAACCAAGGAAAGTCAGCTAGTTTGCCTTTAAACCAGCCACTGTTAAATTTCTTATCTGAGCAAGTTTCCTGCTTTTCCAAGAACGCTGGCCTATTGGGGATACAGCTTACAAACACCCCTGCTGGGTCTGTAAGCACTCTGAAGAAAATAATGGCCACAGAGGACGCTGTGGCAAGGCCTGGAAAGATACATTAACTAGGCCATCTCCTGCTCAGTAAACAGTCAAAGCAAATACCCACTGTGGAGATTTGTATTTGGCTGGGGCAGAGATCAAGGGAACAGCTTGAGCCCTGAAATATGGGCAGGACGGCTTATATCCCTTATCACAGAGGAAAACCCTCTGTGGTGGTGATGCGAGGAAAATTCCTCTCTCCCACTGATTCTTCAGAGGAGATTGACACCAGTGGCATTTTACTCCACAGGGAACTGGCAGAGATTAACACCTTCCTAGGAATCTGTGTGTGACATCAGACAGGAGGCTGCCCCCACACAAGGCTGCTCAGACCCTTAAGGTTAATGATTACGGAAACAAAAGGAGCTGAGGTGCTCACCCAGAGCAACTGCTGGAGTCTTTGTTCCCTTCCTCAGCTCACCCTCCGGGCTAATGAGCAAACAGCCTTCAATAAAGCTGAGTGGAACTGGCACTTGGGGCTGTCAGAACCCCACACGGGCAGGTGGTCCGCTGGGTTCCCACCTTTGAAAATTCTCTTCTATGTGTCCTGTCTCATTCTTTCTAACTTTATATTTCTTCAGTTGGTTGCTACCAAATCCACAGATCTTAACAGACCCTGCCCCTGGGGTGGGACCCTGGCAGGCCAGCTGCCCCTGACCGACTTACTTACGGCCCTGCTGACTTCTGATTAGCTGGGACTGAGAGAAGAAACACAATGTGAGAAGCACATCAAAGGCACCCTGGTAGCAGGGAGTCAAAACACACTCCCTCGGCCAGTCAGAGGAGTGGGGATTCAAGGATGGCCCAAAACAGTCTGATGGGTCCATGGCTGAGTCAAATAAAATTCATACAAATGGCT